GGGAGAGGGAGAGAGAAACATTAATGATGAGAGAGAATCATTGATCTGCTGCCTCATGCTCGCCCCATACTAGAGATTGAATTGAACTGTGACCTCCTGGTTCACAGGTCGATAGATACTCAACCACTGAGCCATGCCTGCCAGGCTATCAATAACTATTTTTGTTGTTTAGGTAATCAGTAACTTTTTAAGAGAGATTATCTTCATTTTATTATTTTATTAAAAATTTATTTGTTTGTTTTTTGTTAATCCTCACCCAAGGATTAATTTATTAATTTTCCATTAATTATTTTTTATTATTTTTATTTTATTATTTTATTTAGGAAGGGAGAGGGATAGAGAGTTAGAAACATCGATGAGAGAGAAACATCCATCAGCCGCCTCCTGCACACCTTCCAATGGGGATGTGCCCGCAGCCAAGGTACATGCCCCTGACCGGAATTGAACCCGGGACCCCTGAGTCCGCAGGCCGATGCTCTATCCACCGAGCCAAACCGGTTAGGGCCCATTAATTTTTTTTTAGAGAGAGTGGGAGAGGAGGAGACAGAGAGAGAAACTTTGATGTGAGAAAGACACATCGACTGTTGCCTCCCGCATGTGCCCCACCTGGGGCCAGGGATTGAGCCTGCAACTGAGGTATGTGCCCTTGACTGGAATAGAACCCGGACCCTTTAGTCCACAAGCCAATGTTCTTTCCTCTGAGCCAAACTGGCCGGGGCATTATCTTCATTTTATAATGAGAAAACTGAAACTCAATTTGCCTAGGATCAAAAATAAATAGTGAAGTTAGGATTAAAGTTGGGTTTGTATGGAAAAAAGGAGATAGGAACAGGGAAGAGACTGGTATAATCGGCTGAATGTGTAAAATAAGATAATGGGGAAAAGCCCTGGCTGAGTAGCTTAGTTGGTTAGAGTGTTGTCCCGATATGCCAAGGTTGTGAGTTTGATCCCCAGTCAGAGCACATATAAGAATCAACCAATGAATGTATAAATGAGTGGAACAACTCAACGTTTTTCTCTCTCTAAAATAAACAAACAAATAAACAAATAAATAAAGAGGGGGAACTCCATGGTTTTGAGTACAGCTATCTTTGACAATGCTAAAAATAAATAAGTAGTAAATAAATAGGTAAATCGGCAGGATGCTGCTTTTGAGAAAAACGCTGCCATTATAGGTATGCCGAATTTGAGATACTCAACCAAGTCTTAGTGTATTTTACTGACTTGGAAAATTATTTACCTAATTAAATTACTAAGATAAACTTTTTAAAAAAATATATTTATTGATTTCAGAGAGAGGAAGGGAGAAGGAGAGAGAGACAGAAACATCAATGATGAAAGAGAACCATTATTGGCCGCCTCCTGCAAGCCCCCCACTGGGGATCGAGCCCGCAACCCAGGCATGTGCCCTTAGCCGGAATTGAATCTGGGACCCTTCAGCCTGCAGGCTGACGCTTTATCCACTGAGCCAAGCCGGCTAGGGCTAAGATAAACTTTTAAATGAGAAATTAATATAGATAATATATGTGATATGTGACATGGGTCAACATGCTGAGTACTGGTAGGGACACTGATGAAAGAGTGGATAACAAGGACACCAGCAATAGAGTATACAGTGAGGGCCCAATAAAAGACAGCAAGGGAACCTGTGATGGAGTGGTCAGCGAGGGTACCAGTGAGAGAGCCTCTGGCAAGGGCACTGATAGAATACACAGAGAGGGCGTCTCTAATGCAGTGAGTGCACAGTGATAAGTCAGATGACAAGGGTCCTAGCTGGAGAGGCTGAAAGTAAAGCCAGAAGAGAACTGATGTACCTGGAGAGTTGAACTGGTGAGAAACCAGATATTATGGGGAGACAAAGAGCAAACATGTGGGGATAATATTCAAAATATTTCATAACTGGTCTTGCACAGGAACTGAGGAATAGGGATGGACACAGGCCATATTAGTGGAGCAAACTCCTGCAGTCGCTATGCTGTAGGGCCTTGGAGGAAGAAAATGGTGTCTGTAAGGTTTGCCTGTGCTAATGGGAGGCTGAAGTAGAATAAAAACAAAGCTTACAGAGTGAGAGATTCTAGTCTGTCTACGTCAAGGAGCCTTGCATATGGAGACTTCTCTGGATAGGCTGCTCACCGAGAAGGGCAGGAATTAAAGATGAAGCAGCCCATGAGAAGACAGGTGGTGAGCACAGAGCAGAGTCTGTACAGTCGTCCTTTTAAACATAGTTTAAAGTTAAGTTGTACATAATGTATTTATATCTGAATTTTATAGATTGTGTGAAAACAATTCAGCAAACACTATATTTCACACAGTGAACAAATTACCTTTTCTTCCATCTCATAATCTACTCCAAATATAGGACTGGCAGAATAGACTTTGTGAAGTGAATTTATTTCCTTAACTGATGCTTGTAGTTTTTCCACAGGATCTATTTTAAAGCCAAGAACATATCCTCCACTCTACAAGGAAAAATAATGAAAAAAAAAAAGAAACAAGCCAGAGAAATGTTATTTCAGGATATACATATGATATTTTAGCTCTAATTGCTTATTTCAGTTTTTCCACTGAGCCAAGCCGGCTAGGGCTAAGATAAACTTTTAAATGAGAAATTAATATAGATAATATATGTGATATGTGACATGGGTCAACATGCTGAGTACTGGTAGGGACACTGATGAAAGAGTGGATAACAAGGACACCAGCAATAGAGTATACAGTGAGGGCCCAATAAAACAGACAGCAAGGGAACCTGTGATGGAGTGGTCAGCGAGGGTACCAGTGAGAGAGCCTCTGGCAAGGGCACTGATAGAATACACAGAGAGGGCGTCTCTAATGCAGTGAGTGCACAGTGATAAGTCAGATGACAAGGGTCCTAGCTGGAGAGGCTGAAAGTAAAGCCAGAAGAGAACTGATGTACCTGGAGAGTTGAACTGGTGAGAAACCAGATATTATGGGGAGACAAAGAGCAAACATGTGGGGATAATATTCAAAATATTTCATAACTGGTCTTGCACAGGAACTGAGGAATAGGGATGGACACAGGCCATATTAGTGGAGCAAACTCCTGCAGTCGCTATGCTGTAGGGCCTTGGAGGAAGAAAATGGTGTCTGTAAGGTTTGCCTGTGCTAATGGGAGGCTGAAGTAGAATAAAAACAAAGCTTACAGAGTGAGAGATTCTAGTCTGTCTACGTCAAGGAGCCTTGCATATGGAGACTTCTCTGGATAGGCTGCTCACCGAGAAGGGCAGGAATTAAAGATGAAGCAGCCCATGAGAAGACAGGTGGTGAGCACAGAGCAGAGTCTGTACAGTCGTCCTTTTAAACATAGTTTAAAGTTAAGTTGTACATAATGTATTTATATCTGAATTTTATAGATTGTGTGAAAACAATTCAGCAAACACTATATTTCACACAGTGAACAAATTACCTTTTCTTCCATCTCATAATCTACTCCAAATATAGGACTGGCAGAATAGACTTTGTGAAGTGAATTTATTTCCTTAACTGATGCTTGTAGTTTTTCCACAGGATCTATTTTAAAGCCAAGAACATATCCTCCACTCTACAAGGAAAAATAATGAAAAAAAAAAGAAACAAGCCAGAGAAATGTTATTTCAGGATATACATATGATAAATTTTAGCTCTAATTGTCCTTATTTCAGAGCATAATATGTAAGCTGATTTTTTAAAATAAAAATTTTATTATGAAAAACTTCAAACATAAACAAAAATAGAAAGAGTACAGTAAGCGTCCATGCACCCATTATCCAGTGTACACAAGTAACAAGGCATGGCCAACTCTTCTATCTGTAACCGTACCCTTCCCCAGACCTCCTCCCCTCACACACTCAGGATTATTTTAAAGCCTATCCAGATATCACATCATTTCATCTGTAAATATCAAACCTGATATTTCAAGTTTAAAGATATACTGTAGATTGTGATGGCCAAGGGAACTAAGTTTTTCTTATGCTAGACCTTGAAAAGGAATATACTATATATTAAAAGAGGTAAGGGGATGATCTAAGGCTATCACCTTGAAGAATGAAAAATTTACTAGCTGGCCCGGCCAGTGTGGCTCAGTGGTTGATCGTCAACCTATGAACCAAGAGGTCACAGTTCAATTCCTGGTCAGGGCACATGCCCGGGTTGTGGGTTCGATCCCCAGTGTGGGGCATGCAGGAGGCAGCCAATCAATGATTCTCTCTCATCCTTGACGTTTCTATCTCTCTCTCCCTCTTCTTTCCTCTCTGAAATCAATAAAAAAATATTGTTAAAAAATTTGCTAGCTGTATGATACTGGGAAACTTTTATTATCTTTCTAAGCTTCAATTTTCTAACCATAAAATGGTTAACAAGTTGTTGTATTAAATAAAATGATATATATATGACATTTTGTACAATTCCTAGAACACAGTAAGCACTCAATAAATGGAAGCTACTAATCAACAGGCCACACGAAAGGAGTGAGTAGACATTCATATTTAAACTTAGAAATGAGAAGAGGAGTGATTTTACAAATAATAAATGTTTTATTTAAATGTATTTCTTAAAAAATCTGGTATAATGAGGCATAGCAATTTATAATTAGATACAATATAATCTTGTGAGAGAATAAAGTCTCAAGTGTGTATGTGTGTATATCTGTAAATATCTGTGTTTCTCAAACATAGTCTTGTGAATCAATCAGATCTCAATTGAAACCTAGCCCTACCATTTACTAGTGAGAACATGGGCAAGGCTCCTAAATTCTCCAGGCCCCAGTTTCCTTGACTGTGAAATGGGGAAAGAATAGTAACCGTATCGTAGAGTTGTGTAAAGATTGAAGTAATGCATGAAAAGTACAGTGACTTGACTCTGTCATTAAACATAATAATCATAATGATAGTAATGAGTATGCTTGTCCAACAAAGAAACATAACCAGGATTCTTCCTATGGGGACAATTACTGCGTGACTTCACACTCTTCATATAACTTCTTGTTATAGCTAAAATTCTTCTTGGATGTAAACTGGTTACAGTATAAATAAAACTAAAAGTAGACTGTCACATAGTTTTAAAAATCTATTGAAGATTAATAAAAATATTAAGTATCTTACCTGCTGAGAGCTTTCTATGACAAGAGCTAACCCAAATTTTGAATCTCTAATCTTTATTGAACGCTAGATGTAAAATGAAAAAGAAAAAAGATGCTGTTTTTATTATCTGATAGCAGTGAATTTTTAGCATATTTTTTCAACTTTCACAAAATAAACCACTTTTCATAGTCTAAATAAAAGAATTCTTCTTTCCTTCATTATACTCCCACAGAGATCTAGTAAAAAAAACTTTCACATTTGAAATAAGTGGCAAACTTATAAAGCAATATAAGGATGACATCTCTGAAATATGTACAAATTTCTCTGATTTCCTTGGAAGTCAGAAAATCTTTCTGGATATTTTGAACCAAAGGCCAGCAAACTTTTAGTTATGCAGAGCGAGAGAATTTTGTGGCTCCTATGGCTGCTTTAGTTTTAAAAAGTTACATGTGCCTTCTGTTTCTTACATCACAGGTGGCTACTTTCTTAAAGAATCTCCGTTCCATTTGTTAAAAGAAAAAAACAAGTTGAGGGCATTCATCACTGGGCATCTAGGAAGGCTGGGATAGGTCAAATGTAACTAACACCCACAGGTAAGCGGAACATGAAGATTAAGCTTGCCTAGCAGATGATGAGCAGTGACATGAGTGGCCTAGGAGAAGGGAAGAGGGGAAAGCACAATGGCAGGCAGGACCTGTGGAAAGTGACACAAAAGGTACTTGGGTGGGGTTAGAGAGAAAAAGTGGAGGATCTACCATTATGACCAGCAGACCAACAGATAGAGAAGGGTAGTCTGTGGTAGGTGATGGCATATTATACTTCCAGACAGACATTTGAGGTTGAGAAAGAGAGAGAGAAGAAAGAGAGGAAGAGGGAGCAAGAGGGAAATGCCTGGAGAGGGAGGAGGATAGGAGACTAGAGGGGGAAGGGAGACTGATTAAATGGTAATTGTTATGAAAACCTGGCCTTCTATCTAGACTACTTCACACCCCACCAGTAGTGCACACAGTCCTGGTTTAGAACCATAAAACACTGGCACCTGGATTGTCAGTAGGTAAACTAACCAGGTAACTGTGGGTGACACAGGCCGCTAAGATGGAAACTGGCAAGGATATACATAGGAATGGGGTCAGGGCAATGGCTGAGGTGTTAAATGAGCTGAAGTTAGACTATGACTGCCTTAGTGACAGACTGTGATGATATCAGATTGCAAGCTGTTTGGGCCTGGCTGAATTCATCCAGAAGCCATACTGGCAACTGTTTTCTTAAAGAACAAAAAGCACCCTATTTGAAGAGCAGAAAGCACAGGTTATTTACTACTCATCAATTATTCAGCATAATAGAGTTTAGGTTAGGCAAGCCAAAACACATGTAAATACAATATAAAACAGCAATGAACACTAGAAGCACCCATTTATCAAATACCTATGTGGCCTCTGCCACATCTTCCCAGCCATGATTATAAATTCTTGTATTTCATTAGATGGCCAGAAATAATTTTCTTCCTATCAGAATTTATGATTTTCTGTTTAATGTGTTGCTTTTCACCACCTGACAGAAAGCTCCTTGATGGTAGGAACAGTGAAGTTATGGTTCATGATTTTTCTGATTGTATCTCTATTATCTAGCACAGAGCAGCTTCTCAATATCAGGCAAATGAATGATTAGATATTTTAAAGTAACTCAGAAATCAAACAATTTAGCAAAAGATAGGCTTGAGAATATTTTCCAAAGAATCATCCTTCTCATAGGCCAAGCAGTCTCTTAAAAATGACATTTTCCAAATATACATACACTGTATCTCCTCGCTAAATATTTATTAATGAAACTGCTTAGTCTTAAGACTACTCTTATACTACATTAAAGGCAATTATCATAGAATAACTTCATAGGATTTTCATTAAGTATTTTTATGTTCCATCTCGTTTGCACTAGATTGTATATAAAATTAAATTCTTCAGTTTATTGTTTATTATTTGTTCCACCATATCATATACTTATCATAACAGCAACAGCAGAGTAAAAAGAGCCACTTTTATATTTTCCCCAAACAAATTAGTCTTAGATGTAGTTACTTCTTATTTTGGATTTTAACAGCTTCAACTTAAGCTAAAACCATTATCATTAAAAACTATATTGATTTCTTTCAGAATCAATGTAAACAGTTGTATCAGAATACAATGTAAACAGTTGTATCAGAATACAATGTAAACAGTTCATTCACAGAATGAATGATTTTATTCTGTCTTTAAAAGAGTTTGAACAGCACTCTCCCTCCAGGGAACACTCCCATGCCCTTCCCTCTCCCCTTTCCCTTCTCCTTCCCCCACAGGCATGAATCCCCTAACCTCTAAGGGACCCCTGAGACTTGCAACCAGGGGAGTAATGGGCAGCGGCAGCTTGTCCTGGACTAACCCCTGAACCTGTCTCCAAGGCTCCCTTTTCTCTGACTTCTCAGTGAGCCAAAGCAGCCCAGTCTAGGCTCTCTCGATACTTCTTCTATACCCTTCCTAGTTTCACTGTCCTAAGTGTGTTTTTGCTTTGGTCAATAAATTCATGCTTGCTTTTCTTTTTAAAAAAAAAAAGGGTTTGAGCAGAGCCCTGGCCGGGTGGCTCAGTTGGTTGGAGTGTCATCCTGCACACCAAAAGAAGGCAGGTTTAATCCTCAGCTGGAGTGTATACGGGAGGCAACTGATTGATGTTTCTCTCTCACATTGATGTTTTTCTCTCTCCCTCTCTCTATCCCTTCCTCTCTCTAGACCAGCCGTGGGCAAACTACGGCCCGCGGGCCGGCCGCCCGTTTGAAATGAATAAAACTAAAAAAAAAAAAAAGACCGTACCCTTTTATGTAATGATGTTTACTTTGAATTTATATTAGTTCACACAAACACTCCATCCATGCTTTTGTTCCGGCCCTCCGGTCCAGTTTAAGAACCCATTGTGGCCCTCGAGTCAAAAAGTTTGCCCACCCCTGCTCTAGACATACCCTTGGGTGAGGATTTTAAAAAAATATCCTTTTTGTTTGAGCAAAAAGTAGCAAGAAAGCCAAAATAAAGTGTATGGATTAGTATGCTGAACCCATGCCAAGGAACAACCATATACCTGCATCACAGAAAGGTTATGGAAAACTTTAGTAGCCAAACCCCTTTGAATGGAATCTAAGAAACACACATCTTAATCTGTATGAAAACTAAGTTTTAGAATCCAGTATATTTCTTTCTTAATAGCAAGTTGTAATGGTGCTGTTTCCCTTGACTATAAGTACAATTGGATCTTTTCTATGTTGAAATAGTAAATTATCAACATTTTAAAAGTATGCTCTCAGTTAAACTGCTGCCACTTAAAAAGGCAGAAAGATAACTCATCTAATCCCCAAAATCCTCTTAACTGTTGAACAAAAATTAATTATTCTGCATTAAAATGAGGTCATCAAAATGCATCATGCACTTACAATTTGCAGATATGGTATACTGACGTTAAAACTGTCATTCATATTTGCATGCCACACAATTCTCACATTGGTAATAAAAAAGGTTCCTAAATTTCCCTATAAAGGAGAGTAATGAGAGATACATCAATGATCATTTGGTTGAATACTTATTATTTTCTAAACACCAGAATAATTCTAATGATCAGAGCAACAGCAAATACCAGAACTGAGTACAGGTATTATGGAGTACAGTTAGATTACTGAGATCATAGCTCTGGAGTTAGATAATCATTACATCATCAGTACTTACCAGCTGTCTGACCCAGGGGCAAATTTCTTTTTGATGCATTGTATGAATATCTGATTAAGTAACCTATGTAAATAAAGCCCATAGCACAGTGTCTGGCACACAGTAAGCGTTATCTAGTGCTGGATCTTATTATGACTATTATTCAAAACCTGGGATAAGTCAAGGCAAGGGAGTTGTGGGACCAAAGAGGAAAAACACAGGTGCTAACGCTCATTAGACCACAAGAGCTATACTGTGGCTCTTCCACACTAACTACAGATCAAACTATAGTTGCAGGGCCCCTCAACATCTTTCATAATTATCTTAATATAGTAGCTAAGTGCCCTAAAAAATCTGCAAGACCTAATAACATGGCACCAAAATTATCTGCCTCTATCATTTATCTATCATTTTCCACCTCCTCCCCACCACATACACTAGAGCAGTGATGGTGAATCTATGACATGCATGTCAGAGGTGACACGCGAACTCATTTTTTTGGTTGATTTTTCTTTGTTAAATGGCATTTAAATATATAAAATAAATATCAAAAATATAAGTCTTTGTTTTACTATGGTTGCAAATATAAAAAAATTTCTATATGTGACACGGCACCAGAGTTAAGTTAGGGTTTTTCAAAATGCTGACACGCCGAGCTCAAAAGGTTCGCCATCACTGCACTAGAAGAATTTTCTTTATTTTATACTTTGAGGTTGCACATAAAACATTAACTAACAAACCCAAAACTTTAAAAAGCCTTTTCCTGGAATGACCAAGTTTGAAACAGCAAAAAAGATCACCTATTTCCCAATTATAATGAAATTAATAAGAATATATATAAGTACATATATTCTCCCCTCCACTCTTATCTTGTAAAAAATTATCATACAAAAAAATTTACTCACCATTATTCCCAGCCCAAGTCTCATTAAACAATACTAAACTTTGCTGACTCCTGGTGAAAAGTAGTTAGTCAGATGGGGATGTATGTCTCCTATAGAACCTTTATCATAGTTTAAAACTAGAACTTTTCAAATGAGCAAAGTTTATTTACAATTTAAGTTTATGATTCAATGTTTATTTTAGCAAGATGCTCGTCATTCAAATGCTATAGCTTTACCACAGTGGTTGTCAGTGTAATCTAGGTTGTAACACACCATAAACTGGAAACTATTCTTAGTAAGAGACAAATTTTTCTCTAGAAATTAATGTTATTTATTCCAACTATCAGTTGCTTACATGTTTCAACTAGTAATAATTTCAAGAGTAAACGAAAAGTTACAATAATGGATACAGGAGTCACCAAATGAATTATATATTTAATTCCATAAAGACCAGATTTAAAAACTTCTGTGATGGTCCAACCCCTAGCTCTCCTCCATTAGTACAGGTTATCAAGATGCGGAGTGCAGGGTAGTAGCATCGAGGGAAGATCATGGCTCTGAACTGAACCAGGTATGTGAGGTCACTTGATTCTTAAGGGCCTGAGTTTTACATCGATAAGTGAAGAGAGGCTAAACTAGAGATGATCTGAGGTCCATTCCAGCTCTAAATGCAATGCAGGGCAAATGTTAAACAGGACAAAACCATACAAATATGAAAATTATATTATTTTATATGAAGAGTTATAATGTTAACTTATTAAGAAGTATGATGCTAATTTTAACAGTTAAATGAATATATAAACCTAATGATAAATGGAAAAATGATTATCAAGGCACTGATCCAAAAGATTCATTAGTTTTTTGTACAATACCTGATCACTGGATAAATTCCATACTCCATTGATTTTATCATATACATGTTCTTGTGGTAATAACCTTAGTTCCTTATTTTGAATTAGTGCACTTCTCAATTTAAAATCACGATACATTTTAGAAGTTTCATATGCTCTATAAAAGAGAACAAACAAGAGGCTAACCCAAACTGAAAATGCAGTTTTCTTTGTTTATGTTAAAATATACAATTGTTAGTACTTATATACATCACTCAAGTAATTATTACAGTAAGTTGAAATTTTTTTCTTTTCAGCAAGTTTTGGAGATTATAGTCTTCTGTAGATTTTGTCATTTTAGTGTAGCACTTACATATTTTATCTCAGTAAACTATTTTTTAGATGTCTAATTTTAAGGCACTACTTATCACACAGCACAATGAGAGGGCACAGATTTTCTCTCAAACTGAGAAACAATGCTTCTATATAATAGACATAAAAATTATTTTTTCTATCAAAATGCTCCCCTTCATTTGTTTTAGTCAAAGGCACCATTATTCTTTTTCTCACTACAACCTGAAGAAATTATGCTCACATTTACCTCTACACAGAGAATTAGAATGAATCTGTACCAATTCCAAAAGTAACCCTAGGACAGAGTCTAGGACAGACAGTGTGTGTATCTGTGTGTGTATAAAATCTCTATAATTTTGTTTTCTTTCCATGTCTCTATATTAATAAATAATAAATACAGAAGAAAATTTGTAACTTTTTAAAATTTTATTTTTCAATTACAGTTTACATTTAATATTACTTTGTATCAGTCTCAAGTGTACAGCATAGTGGTTAATCACATACTTTACAAAGTAATTCCCTGATATTTCAAGTACCCACCTGGCACCATACATAGTTATTACAACATTATTGACTATATTCCCTATGCTGTACTTTATATCCCCATGACTATTTGTAACTATCAATTTGTACTTCTTAATTCCTTTGCCTTTTTCACCAGTTCCCCAACCCCCCTCCCCTCTGGCAACCATTAGTCAGTTCTCTGTAGCTATGAGTCTGTTTCTATTTTCTTAGTTCATTTATTTATTTTTTAGCTTCCACATATAAGTGAAAACATAAGGTATTTGTCTTTGACTGATTTCACTTAGCATACCCTCTAGGTCCATCCACATTGTCACAAATGGTTAAGATTTCACTCTTTTTTTTTTTAAATTCCATTTATTGATTTTAGAGAGGATGGGGGGGAGGGGAGAGAGAGAGAGAGAGAGAGAGAGAGAGAGAGAAGAGAGATTTGTTATTCCACTTATTTATGCACTCATTGGTTGATTCTTGTATGTGCCCTGACTGGGGACTGGACCTACAACCTTGGCATATTGGGATGATACTAACCAACTGAGCTATCTGACCAGTGCAGATTTCACTATTTTTATGGCCAAGTAATATTCCATCGTACATATGTATCACAACTTTTTTATCCACTGGTCCATTGATGGGCACTTGGGTTGCTTCATATCTTGGCTACTGTAAGAAAATTCTTAACTTTTGATTAATTAATTCTAATTTTTCTCCACAAAAATATAGGCTAATTTACCCATATAATGAAACTAAAAGGTTTTCTTAGCCTAAATAACTTTAGAAGTCGCTCATATAAATTATAGTACTCAATGTTAATTTTCTCAGTTTACTCTAATTAACCTTCTAACGTATAAACTGTGAAAGTAGGATACAAACATTTGCTTAGAAATCTTAATTTCCTTCAATGCTGTAATTATCAATATTTAATCGGGAGAAAATGGAAACTATGCTGTAAATTATTTTTGGGGAAACACATAACATTTTTATACTATTAAAGAAAAGCAGCTTCCATGCTCCCTTCAAACTTGATTTTACATTACTTCTCTAGGTAAAGTGAAATAAAAAGCTAAGGTTTAGATATATACCCAAGAAAACTAAAATATGTTTTCACACAAAACTTATATATGAATGTTCACAGCAGCATTATTCATAATAGACAAAAATGTCTATTAACTGATGAATAAACAAAATGTGTCCATGCAATGGAGTATCATTTAGCTATAAAAATGAGTAAAATACTGATATATGCTACAACATGATAGACCTTGAAAACATTATGTAAGTGAAAAAAGTCACACATAGCTCTGGCCGGTGTGGCTTAATTGGTTGGGCGTCGTCCCAGGCACTGAAAGGTTGCTAGTTCAATTCCAGGTCAGGGCATAGGCCAGGGTTTTGGGCTCAATTCCCAGTAGGGGGTGTGTAGGAGGGAGCTAATCAATGTTTCACTCTCACATTGATGTTTCCCTCTCTCTCCTTCTCCCTTCCTCTCCCTCTTAAAAAAAAAAAAGGGTCAATTGACTTATTAAAAAAAAAGAAGTTGGCCCTGGCAGGGTAGCTTCCTTGCGAGTTTGATCCCCAGTCAGGGCACATACAAGAATCAACCAATGAATGCATAAATAAGTGGAACAACAAAACTCTTTCTCTCTCTAAAAGTCAATCAATAAAATAAAAAAAAAAGAAGTCAGATATAAAAGACCACCATATTATATGATTCCATTTATATGTAATGTCATGAATAGGCAAATCCATAGAGACATAAAGTAAATCAGTGGTTGCTCTGGCAGTTTCTTCTTGGGGTGATGGAAATATTCTGGAATTGGGCAGTGATGATATCTTGAGAATATACTAAAACTACCAAAGTGTGAACTTTAAAGTAATACATTTTATGTTATATGAATTATATATGTAAAAAACACACACAAAAAACAAAACACTAAACCACTCTGTAGATTTAAACAATCAACAAAATTAAAAACTAACAAACTAGGAAACTAAGAAATACATTTGCAATAATGTGGATGATAGAGACATAATTAAGAAATTTACAATAGAAAGCTATAAATAAGCAAAAAAAAAGAGAAAAATTTCAGCATCACTAGTAATAAAAGAAGCGCAAATTAAAACAATGGTACTTATGTGTGTATAAGTTTGTATATATATTTATTTTGCTGTCATCATAGTCAAGCTTTTAAAAAAAATAATAGCACTTAGGATTAAAAAAAAAAAAAAAAAAGAGGTGCCCTGGCCAGTTTGGCTCAGTGGATAGAGCGTCGGCCTGCGGACTGAAGGGTCCTGGATTTGATTCTGGTCAGGGGCACATGTCCAAGTTAGGGGCTCAATCAATGGTTCTCTCTCATCATTGATGTTTCTATCTCTCTCTCCCTTTCCCTTCCTCTCTGAAATCAATAAAGAGCATGAGATAAATGTTTAAGAATAAGTGATTTCTCAAAGAAAAAAAAAAAGAGCTGAAATAGTGAAAAGAGAAGAATTCAGCAAACAAATAAAAAGCCCAAAACAACCACAAAGCAAAACAACAACAAAACTCTTTTCGGAAAACACCCAGACATATTTTCTATTATTAGAAGAATAATCTTTTAAAATCATTAATTAAATTATATAACCTTGTTATTTACATTGAATGAATTTTCTATTTCCTTGTAACAACCTTTGTAGCTAATAGAATCTTCAGTAAATTTTTTTTTAATGAATCTTCAATAGTCATATGTGCTTTATAAATACCTTCAAAGTGTTTATTAAATGATAATACAATGTGTTCTATATATTTTCAGGATATTTGCAATAGAGCTTGGAGGAAGATAGCACCACACTTCTAAACTTTATTCTCTAAACCTTTATATCATAGAATTATTATAAAAATTTTCAATAATCCACAAAGTATTACCATACCTGTGTACTGCAATCACAGAAGTAAAAAGTCTAGGACTTCCCGGAATCAAATTTGTAAATATAAACTCAAAACGAGTACTGTTACATTTTGTTAGTATATAAAGAGCTTCAGTTTGGCCTCGTAATTTCTGTAAGGACAAATTTATTAAAAAGTTCAGATTTTAAAAGCAATTTCTCACAGTGAAAACAAACACCAACCTCAAACATCTCATGTTTCTTCACTATATATATATTTCAATAAGGTTTTTCAGACTTACAGAGTTAGCAGTCCTTGTTGTAATATTCAGTATGCAGTTGTAGCCGATAGCTAAAATTCAAAAGCAAAGAATTTAAAGAATGTAATAATAATAAACTGAGAAAAAATTTATATACAGAACTTTTAAGTTTTTTTATTTTTATTGCTTAAAGTATTAGAAAGAGTGTTACATATGTCTCCTTCCCTCACCACCCCCCACCTTGACATTCCCCCGGCCTCCCCTACCCCCCAGTGTCTTATGTCCATTGGTTATGCTTATATGCATGCATACAAGTCCTTC